CTTTGTAGAAGGAGTGTTTTATCCATATAGCATCTTCAACTGGCAAAAACCAAGAGAAGTCAGTTTCACAAGAACTTAAAACCACTTAGAAACACAAATATTGATACAGTACTGCTATAAACACTACCAACTAACTTAGCTGAGGACCACAAGTGAACGAGAGCAAGGGTCAGAAAAACGTGTTAATCTCATGAGAGATCAAACCACTTGAGGAAACAAAACTATCAATCTTTTAGTTATGCGTACAAGTAATGAAACATACTAATGATGATAGCAGAGGAAAGAGCACTTACAGGACGATTTCTTGCGATCATCCTTAAAAGGTTACGTGAGCTTGAGCTACCATTTTTACCTGCTTCAACTATATTGCGCACATGCTTTACGAGGCCTGAAGTCTACAAAGCAAATTTGGATAGACTTACTTAGAAATTGGCAGCACAATGCCTTTTAGTTCAAAAAACGCACGAACTACAAACCTCGCATCGGTAGGCAGCTTTATCGCTGATGTCATTTTCGAAAGGAATAGAGTCGACGCGACTGCCGAACTCACTGTAGTTGAGCAACTCAAATTGACGACTCCACTCATCGTAAAATATGGTGGCGTGAAGTGGCGAGACGTTGGGACATTGCACTTTATTGGAGGACTGATAGTTTGCCAAACATAGGTGACAATCCGGTGCTACAGTGAAGAATACCACCATCACCATCACACCGTACGCCGCTTATCAATAATAAGTTGGCGGAAAATGCATGTGATTTTCAGAATTTGCCAAAGAGTGGGAATTTGAAGTTGGCACAGCTTGTAGAAATATGCATTGATGGAGTTGGAAATGACGTAAGCAAGGAGAAAAACCTGAGCCTATGACGAGTTGACGGTAGGACATAGGCACAGAGGGGCCGGTGGTGCCCCCACAGGCGATGAGAACAGCACGACCAGGCAAGCAAGGGATAGGTCTGGCGACATCTGGGACGTCTCCGAACCGCCTCGGGCTGACAGGACGATTCAAGAGAGCTGAGGAGAGATGGCACTCACACTCCATCAGTTTGGCAGGCACCTCACCCGCTACAATTAAACCACAGAAGAGTCACTGCATTAGTATGATAGAACGACCCCCAAAAATGAGGAACATAAGTAATTGGCGTTCAGAGCTTAAGATTTATAATACCTGAGATTCAAAAAGAGGAGAAAGTTAGCTAGTTACGTAAAAAGGAATAAGAAACGCTTGCTGCACCACTGTCCAAGTCAGTACTTCAATTATTAGCGCTACACAGCTAACACGGCAGAAGTAATATATCCACCTTTTATGGAGACGCCGCTGTCGAGTTCACTGAGTACGCCCTTGATCTTATCAGCAAGAGATACGTTCGTCTCTTGAGCCTCATCGACCGGAGGGTGGGAGGCAGTGGAGAGTGGTGTGAGAGAACTCGCTACTGAGCTATCGCAGGTCTTCAAACCAGTCCCCCTATCCAAACTCGTCTTAGCGCATGGTTGAGCGGATTCTCGAAGGTAAAATTCAAGTAAACTACGAATAAACTGGAAAAGACAAGTAAACAGATCTCACAGTCATGTGACCGTATCCATTTTGGGTCCTACCATACACATTAGCCCGTAATGACGAGGTAAACACAGATTATTGCATTAAATGACTCCAACTACAGATCGAAATATGGCATAAAAACGAACCAATTTTCTGTCACATTCTGAAGCCCTGGAATCCTGTAATTTATCTTCATGCGGGGGTAGGGAACTGTCCAGCTGACATTCACTTCGAGAGCGTTCTTCAAGTCTAAGCAGGCGCCGAACAGGGTTTTCATATAAGGCCTTCACAGAGCTGGGAACCTGTTTGCGAGTAAAACAAGTTGAGTTACGGAAAATAAGGACAAACAACCGCAGTAACAAAACCTGATTTTTTTGAAAGTAGGAAGTAATCGAGGAGTGGGACGAAGTAGCGGAGGGTGGGGATAAGATTGAATAGCCAAACTTACTACAATGGGCGCGGGAGAGAGGGAGCGGAGTGCAGACAATTTGGGGCTTAGGGTGCCGATGATCTCTTGAGCGGCGTAGGCCTCGAGACGTCGGCGGCGGACGTTGTGGAGGAAGGCGGAGAGTACAGCCCGTTCGTCTTCGGGTCCGTATTGGATGGTGTGGGAAGCTCCGTCGAAGACATCATCAGTTTTCTTTGCAGATGCCTTGAGCGAAAGGTTGGGATTGAACACTGTCAGCTGGTTCCATGCGCGAATGCGCTCCGAGAGACGGATCGACCGGACCAGACACTTGTCGACCGTGTGCTCCGCATGAACTGGACACATCCACCGATCGGAACGTGGTGGGAACTGAGCCAATGGGGGGTCTAGACACTCCAGGTGAAAGCATGCCGTGCAGTAGTCACAAGGAAGAAGAGGAGCATGGAAACAGGTTCTACGCGTAAAAAAGAGGATGTATTAGTAGACGTTTCCCATCTGTATCCATCGAAAAAACATGCACAAACGCCAATTTGGTTAGTCAACGATAGGGCAGACTGGAATTTGGATCACACAACGTAATTTACACATTTAACATTAAAATAGTCTTCTGAAGTTGTGGATGGGAACTTACCTGGCACAGTTGTAACATCGTCGAATAGGTCTCGGAATCTGACCGTTTTCCAGTTCAATTATGGGATTCGCTTTGCGCTCAGCCAAGGTTTTGTACGAACCTTTAATAAAACAAGGCATTTGAACACACAACGACAAAGGGATCCTTACAAGGCAAAGTGACACCTGAAGCACAGGTAGGTTTGCGTCGGAAAGTCCAATTCATGCTATTACAGATCAGTGAATCAATAAGTCTGTTTTAGAGCATCGTTACAGGTTTGATACCGCAAAAGTGTAACACCATATTGATAAAGACAAAGGCCTTAAATTTCTATAGCAACGAAATATTTCACATTACGGAACTAGAACGATTCGGACTGAAACTTACGCAAAGTAAAAAAGATTGATCTCTAATATGCTGGTTTTGAAGAACTATTCGTTCAAAACAGAACATAAAAACAAGCAGTTGATGAGGGTACACTATGATTATCATTATCACCCGGAAGTGGTCACTGATGAATTAAAAAACAAATTAGGATACGACCCAGGATAAGAGACGGGGAGCTGTATCACCTGGTATTTTGATTCCAGGCATCAAGTCCTTAGGTAGTTCAAACTCTTTGGGATTGAGAAAGCGAGCATATTTGAGGACATCCCAGAGAAGAGAGAGGGGCGAGGATTTGAGAGCAGCGGTACGCCGACCGGTGGTGAGCCAGCCGACCACTTCGGCGGCAGTAGCGTTCGTACGACCCGAGGGCCCAGTGAGAACTGTGCGAGGTACCGCCGCGGCCGAACGACGCTGCGCGATCCCGTTTGCGTCCTCCGCCTGCTTTATGGTAGCTCGACCAGAGGAGGCACCTCCACTCGAAGCCACACCACTGCTCTGGCAACTCGATGAGGAGCTGCTCTCTTCCTCATCCTAGTATCATATATACGCACGAACACGCGGTCAAACATAAGCGCTTTGCATCACAGCAAATATGCTACCTTTATTGCCTGTATTTGTGAGACCATAAAAAGTAATAAAAATAAGTCGATCACCATCAGAGCGTCATCTACTAAATAGAGCACAAAGCCAGCTAGTAAAGCAATGGCTACGCCGATATTAAAACAAAATACGTGGAATGAAACAATGACAACTCGTTATAAATAAGAATGAGAGATAAGATGAAACGCACACTTACATAAAATGAGCTAACCCTGGAGAGCATAGTGCAGCGATGGCAGTACCAAAGTCCTGTAGGTGCTTCGTGTGAATCCAAAGGGGGATCCAGGCACTCTAGGTGGAAACTGGCAGGACAGCGATCACAAACAAGTCGATCACCCTCAGAGCAATTGCAGCTATCGCAATAGTCGTGGCAATTGGGCCGCGGCTTGCGCCAAATCGGATCATCCTTACAGGAAATCCGGGCTACAGATGATGCAGAGACTTCATTTGTGTGCACTACCTCGTGTTTTTTAGATCTCCGAGCTGAGGGCTAAAAGAAAAGTATTAAGAGGGATAAACACAACTCACGATTCCGACCAACCCTTTCTTGCCTAATGACTCGGCAGTTGGTGGGGCAAAGAGTTCCTGCAATTGAGTCATCATACTATCCCTGCGTTGGGCATCATGATCCGACAAAGCCATTTCGTCCTGGGAGATAACACCAGCAAAAACAAACGATAATACAAAATAAAAAACTTATTCGACAAGTTATTGGAAATAACCACCTCATATAACCCCATTAAGGAATAAAATACCATGAAATACTTCCGCAAAGACGTAAGTTCAACTAAAAACAAAGGAATGTACATCAGACTAAACCAAATTAAGACAAAATTCGCAAAAGACGCTATAGTTCAGTTGAAAAACACCAAACATGCGAAGGCAAGATCTGGAGTAGTAAAATCGCTAAGTAGCATTTAGGCATTAGGGAAAACCGAGAGAGCGTTGACAAACTATGAGGTGCTTATACTGAGGAGAAACCCTTATTAGGAGCAAATAAAGGGGGGAAGAACTGCCAGGGGTAAAACGAGACCACACCAAATAAGGATTGCTTGTTAACAAAAACGCCGAAAAATGGTACAATGAATAAAAGGGAAACAAGGAAAAGCAAACTAGTGAATTAACTTGATTCAAAGGAAAATGCGAGACGCAAAATGGACGAAGACTCAAGGCAATGAAGAGAGGCCAGCTGCATAGTAAGCTGAAAATAAAACGGGGGCTTGCGTGGAAAAATATAACTGCAATATCAATAAGGTGCAACCGAAATGAGCAAAAATGCAGTGAAGCGGTATATGAAACCACCAAACGTTACCGCGAATTAACCGATTGAGCAAACCTATAAAAGCGGACTACTTGAATACAACCAATAAAAAAACACGACCCAACAACAAAGGCAAATGGGGATAAATGATAAAGCAATCGGCGAAAATAGGTTAAAAGATGGGTCACGAGCAAAAAGGCGGATGATAATATTTTTGAACGCCATGCTCGTAGAGAGCGTCAAACTTGTCATAATTTGCAGGACCTACTAATTTACCATGGATTATATGGTGCAAAGCTAATGCAGACATAAACAAGTGAGCTCAAATATTTTACTGTAAAGAATGGTAATACAAACCGCCTTAAAATTTTAAAAGTACTTTTTTGGTGACAAGGCACCACTTAAACCCAAATATGAATGCAAGACAACAAGTCTCCATCAATTTTGCTGCTGTTTTTAACAGGTTAAAAAATAAAGCATACTAAAAACGTTACTAAATGACCAATTATTAAATGAGGCTGTGTGCTACTCTGCTGGCCGTATAAAACGTGCGGCGACTGTTTCTCCTTTGCAGTTTTTATTTTTACACGAAATGTAATGTAATACAATGGTGGTTTATTCCCCAGTATTAGTGAGATGCTACTGTAGCGTCCCAAGACTCCCTTAAGACG